ATCAATATATATATGTGTGTGTGTGTGTATGTGTGTGTGTGTGTGTGTGTATGTATATATATATATATATATATATATATATATATATATATATATATAATTCATACAGTGTAAGTACTCTCTTAGTATTGCCGTGATGTGTACAGCCCCGTCCAGCTGCGATGATAGGAATTTTTAAAACAAATCCCTGCGCTATGGAACCAAAATCCCCTTTTTCCCAACTTTGTAAATGAAAACATAATAATCATAGAACAATCACTGCTGCCGCCTTAATAGTTAAAAATAACATTGTATAGAAGTGCAGAGCAGCGCTGTGACCATAAACATAAAAAAACCTCACAGTCAATATATTATTCATTACATACTGTAACTAATCCTTCATAATAAGGTGCATGTTCAAAAATAGTGCGAGTAAGAAGTGCCTGAAATAGTTCTTCAATCCCTTCCGTACATTTTCTCCACCATACACCACTTGTGCTCGTGATGTCCCTCTCATGGTTGGCATATCTATCTATAGAGTTCTGGTGAGTGTCTGCCTTGCAGGAGAGGGACATCACGAGCACAAGTGGTGTATGGTGGAGAAAATTTACGGAAGGGATTGAAGAACTATTTCAGGCACTTCTTACTCGCACTATTATATGGACATTTTTGTTAGGACTTTCTTGAACAAGCACTTTATTCAATTAACCCCGTATTGGTTCAACCTATATGGGGTTAACTGATCTTGCAACCCATAGTGATCCGGGGGATCAGATTCAGCGGTTTGGAGCCTGTAAGGGGTTAACTGTGGCAGCTCTGTGCGACAGTCGGAGATCGGCTTCTTTGGCCTGAAATAGGCACATGTGCAGTTGCTTCAGGGGATACATATTACACGGGATACTCATTTTACTGCTGCACCGGCACCGCTCCTTTCTCTCTGGAGGGGTGACACCATGTGTTACTGAACTGGGTGACACCAACCCTAGGGAAGCCTCTGTCCAACACATGAGATCTCATCCTCCTGGGCACCATGCATGATGCACTTGAGAACCGTTTTCATAAAATGTTCCTGCCACTTTTTTTTTTTTTTTCTTTACAAAGTAGGTCACTAGCTCTTTCCTCAGCCCTCTCCATTTGCAGGGGATTGAGGCTGGTATGCTGAATGTCATAACACATGTATACACATACTAGAGCTAATAAACCTACCAGCATGTCATTGGAGGCAACCAAAGGAAACCCATAGAAGCATGGGAAGAACATACAAATTCCATGCACACAGTGTCCTTACCATGGTTCAAAGCAGGGATGTTAGTGCTGCAAGCAGGGCAGCTGTTAGAAACCATGGGGCCCCACACAGCCAACATGACAGCCCCCCCCCCCAAAATACAGTTTACAATGCTTCAGTTATGAATGAACACAGTGAGTAATTGGTACTGCTCACTCATTGTGTTCATTCAGGAAAGGAGCTAGTAAATGTGACATATTTATTAGACCCTTCCCCCACTCTCTAGCCTGAAGGATCCTATTGTGCATTTGCAGCTGCCAATGGAAAAGAGACGAGGGAAGCCAGCAGCATTGTGGGGGCATACACAGGGGCCTGGGCAGCAGGGGGATGTGTATAGTGCACAGGGGAGGGTAGTGCAGTGGGGGGGCAATTACTGGAACTGAACCCCTGTATGGCTTTCTCTGCAGCAGCTGAAAGTCAGCGGGAAATAGAGCAAAAAAAAAAAGCCAGAGAGAGCCATACAAGGGATTGGTTCCAGTAATTGCCCCCCCCCCCCAGCAACAAGCTAATCACCCTCCCTGCCCACATCCGATTCACCCAGCTACCTGGGCCCCTTTGCTGGCCTGGGCCCCATACAGGAGGACAGGAGGTACCCCCATATCCACAGCCCTGGATGCAAGGTAGTAGTGCTAACCATGAAAGCACTGTGCTGGCCAAGTATGGAGCATCCAAGCCGAGATAAAGGATGGACCTCTAACAGTGGGCCGAAAATGTCTTTAATGATGAGTGGTTCTTAGAATCAGATCTTGGAAAATTAAATTTGAAATCGAATTAACTTCTAAGCTAATGATTTACATTCGTTTTAGAAACCAGCTTGCATTGGCTGGTCAGTCAATGGAAACCTTCCAATACCTGGCTTCTCAATATTTGGCCTGCAGCTTGGTTTGGTGTCTTGAGAAGCAGTTTGGCAGCGCTGTGAGTGAAGGGTTAACTTTCCCTCGGCCGTTTATTATTTTTCACATTTCTCCTTTTTTATTGCTGATAAGTTTCAGTGCTCCTCCAGTGACAAAGTCTTCCTCTTTCCTGCAGAATTCGATCGCAGCCCCAGGCCGGAGAGTGTCGGCAGCCCGATGGAAGAGGTGATCCTGGCCCCGGCGGTGGAAGAGAGCATGGAGGCCAAGATATGCGATGAGCTGGGCCGGGAGCCCTTCGGCTACGTGGGGATCGACTCGGTGCTGGACCAGATGAAGCGCAAGGCCATGAAGCATGGATTTGAGTTCAACATCATGGTAGTGGGTGCGTATCGATTTATTTATTTCAGATACTTGTATAGAGCTGGCAATTTATGCAGCACTTTACATATATATTGTACATTCACATCAGTCCCTAACCCTCAAGGGGTGTACAATCTAAGGTCCCTAACTCACATTCATACATACACATACTAGGGACAATTTAGACAGGAGCCAATTCACCTACCAGCATGTCTTTGGAGTGTGGGAGGAAACCGGAGTACCCGGAGGAAACCTACACAGGCACAGGGAGAACATGCAAACTCCAGGCAGGTGGTGCTGTGGTTGGGATTCAAACCAACGACCCGAGTACTGCCAGGCGGAAGTGTTAACCATTTAGCCACTGTGCTGCCCGGTATCAATGAGCTGCACATACCGTCTGTTATGAAAGGGTCACCTGCTTTTATTTTATCCATTGTGGTGCATTGACACCCCATTTATAATGAATGGGCTGCCTATACGTAACACACATGAACACCTGACATGATGAATGTTAACATGCGTGCGTTAACACACCACAGTGAAACGCTTTAGTGGGAAAGGCCCAAAAAGCTACAATCGGTTCAGTCAGTTGCAGGCTTGTTGGTTATACATAGCGGTTCATCGTTCTTTGATCTAGAGGTGCAGGGCTGCTGTTAGAAACCACGGGCCCCATACAGCCAACCTGACAGGGACCCCCCAATAAAACACAGTTTATTATGCTTCAGTTATGAATGAACACCACAAGTGATCAGTACTGATCACTCATTTCGCTCATTCAGGAAAGGAAGGGGCTGGTAAATGTGACCTTCCCCCACTCTCCGTCCTGTAGGATACCATTGTGTTCTTGCAGCTGCCAGTGGAAAGGAGAGGAGGGAAGGTGGTAGCACTGTAAGGGCGGGGGCACGGGATGTAGGGATCAGTTCCAGTAACTCAACCCCCCCCCCCCCCGCCATGCCAATCACTATCCCTGCTCACATCCAATTTACCCAGCTGCCTGGGCCCCCTTGCTGGCCTGGGTCTGGTGGTAACCTCTTGTCCACAGCCCTGTAGAGGTAAGTGACATACCTAGTACTAACAGGTGGGGGGAGCATGCAGCTTTGTACTGTTCTTCCCTGCTGGGTGTCTGTCAGTAAGTGCCAATACACGGGGACAGGGAGAGACTCCTTAGCCTTGAGTAGGCTCTGATCAAACTGGAATTGGGGAATGGAGAGTTGGGGAAGGGTCCTGTAAACGTGGCACATTTACCAGCCCCTTACTTTCCTCAATGAACGCAATGAGGGATTGGTACCGATCACTCATTGTGTTCATTTATAACTGAAGCATAGTAAACTGTGTTTTTTTTTTGAGGGGCTGTATGGGGCCCCGTGGTTTCTAACAGCAGCCCTGACTGCAACATGGTTCAGCCTTACCCTACAGTAACAGCTATGTGTGCTGCTATTTCGTTGTATTCTCTCCCTGTCCAAACAGATATAGCAAGTAAATGTCAAGCAGTAAGGCCCCTGTAGAAGCTAACCTTCAGGACTGCTAAGTCTTCCTTCAGGACTGCTAAGTGGTATTCTGTCTAGGCTGCTGGAGGAGGCCAGTTAATCAGCAGAGTCTTGTACTGTGGTAGCCATTAATGCAGAAATCTTGGGATCAAAATGATTCGCTTCATTGGTTATCTTACGTTAATAGAGATGAAAGCTTTATTAGATCCCTTCTTCACACCTAATATATTTCTAGGCTATCCTGAAAGCTTGCATTTTTATTAAGTTAACCACTTGATCTCCTGAAGGCTTTATCCCCTTCATGACCAGGGACAGGGGTGGACTGACAACTCATGGGGCCCCTGGGCAATAGGGGATCATGGGGCCCTGTGTCCTTGCCCAAACTTAAAAAAGCCTATGAAAAAGGTACCAGGGGCATCTCATGGGGCCCCCTACTGACCCCGGGCCCTCGGGCAGTGCCCGAGTTTCCAAATGGTCAGTCCGCCCCTGGACCAGGCCATTTTTTTGCTATTCAGCACTGTGCTACTTTAACTGGCAATTGCTTGGTCATGCAACACTGTGCCCGAATTAGATTTTTATCTTTTTGTGTGAGCTTTCTTTTGGTGGTATTTTTTGTGTGGTATAAATGAAAAAAAAAAAACATTTTGATAAAAAAAACAATATTTTCTACTTCCCGTTAAAAAACATATCCAATAAAAATTTTAAAAAATCAAATTTCTGTATAAACGTAGGCCAACATGTATTCTGCTACATGTCCTTGGAAAAAAAAATCCCAATATGTGTATATGAATTGGTTTGTGCGAACGTTGTAGCGTCCGCAAACTATGGTATATATACTGGAATGTACGCAGCTATGACTCTATATTGGTAATAGCAGTGATCAGCGACTTATAGTGTGACTGTGATAGTGTGGCGGGCAATCTGGTTCTAGCTGATGATGGCAGGGAGTTACACTAACCCTAGGTAAACATCTGTGTGGGTGGTGCCGCTGCGGATCCGCATGAAAATCCGTGCAGCCGCACCACCCGCACAGAGAAATGCGGACCCGCGGGCAGGTGCCATTACTTCTAATGGCACGCCGCCCGCACTGGAAAACGCAACCATACTGGGAACCGAGGTTCCTGCGCGGGCTGCGTTTTCCAAAGTAGTGCAGGGACTTCTTTCCCTTAGTGTCACTGGCACGGGAGTCCATTCAAATGAATGGGCTCTCGTGGCCGTGCAAAACGCTGCCCACATGGCCACATAAATGTGAACCGTGGGTAACTGGCAATTACATCAATAGTGACACTGACAGTGATCAGTGCTAATACTGTACACTGTCATTGCACTAATGACACTGGCTGGGAAGGGGTTAAAGGAGTTTATTTCCCCCCAAATTATATTTACCTAGGTGGATGCAGCATCGGTCTGATTGGCTCTAAGGGTGAGAACTCTGCGATCACATGACCACTAGTCTCTGAGTTCTCACCGCCATTGTGAGCAGAGAGAGGCGACTGTCAGTCACCGCTCTCTGCTCTGCTGCACCCCAGCGCTCAGTGCAGGCAGGGCTGTGGAGGGGGAGGGAGCCGCTGGCTAAGGCTCTCAGTAGCCCACTGAGAGGCTGAGGCAGGCGCCACTCCAGACTCTGGGGTGGATCCCGACTTTTAAAATCGGGATCTTTCCCCAGCCTGGAACAGCCAATTGATTTCAGCTGACAGTGGGCTGAAATCTCTTGTCGGTTGACAACGGGTCACAGGAGTGCAGAACTGTGACTCCAGGGGGCCGAATACAAATGCACCCCACATTTTACAGATATTTATAACCATTTCTCATTTTCCTTCCACTTCACAATTATGTGCCACTTTGTGTCGGTCTATCATATAAAATCCCAATAAATTATATTGACGTTTTTGGTTGTAACATGACAACATGGGGAACATTTCAAGGGGGAGGAATAACTTTTTCAAGGCGCTGTACGGTCACGTCACACAGCCCAGCCTGGAGCTAGCCAATAAAGGGTATCACTTTACTGCCAGAGATTCTGCATTCATCGATGAATACTCCACTGATTCCCTGACCGTTTTGTCCACCTCCAGCAGCAGCCTGGACAGAAGATCCGTTACCAGTCCTGAGCGGTGACAACTGATGGCTCAGCCTCTGTAGGGGTCTCACTGCCTGACAGTCGCTATAATTGTTTAGACCGGGAGAATACAACTAAATAACAGCACACACAGCTATCACTAGGGCTAGGTTCACACCTATTCAGTGTGCATTTGATCCGTTTCTGCAGTGCGTTTTGTGGAGTTTTTTTGCCGCATTTTTGTCATGTTTTTGATGAATTTTTTTTTTTACTTGTTGATTAAAATGCATCAAAAATACATGAAAAACACACTACATGCTTTTCTTCAGTGTTTTGAAATCTATAGAACCAAAAACGCAACGTTTTGTATTTAAAAATGTCCCTGACCCTTTCCAAAAAACGCACTAGTCTGAGTTCTCACCACCACTGTGAGCAGAGAGAGATGACTGTCAGTCACCGCTCTCTGCTCTGCTCCACCCCAGTGTTCAGTGCAGGCATGGCTGTGGAGGGGAAGGGAGCCGCTGGCTCAGGCTCTCAGCTATCACTAGGGCTAGGTTCACACCTATGCAGTGTGCGTTTTGATCCGTTTCTGCAGTGCGTTTTGCATTTTTGCCTCATTTTTGCCTTGTTTTTGATGCGTTTTTTTTTTACTTGATTAAAATGCATCAAAAATACATGAAAAACACTCTACATGCTTTTCTTCAGTGTCTCTTTTAAAGTCTATAGAACCAAAAACGCAACGTTTTGTGTTTAAAAAATGTCCCTGACCCTTTCCAAAAAATGCACCGGGTGAAAACGCAGAGCTGTGATCCTGTCCCATAGGAAATCATGTTAAAAGGACTGCTCTGTGTTTCTGCAAAATGCATCGGAGTGAACCTATTGTGAAGGATAGAACACTTGTCAGTTTTTTGAAGTGTCAGTTAAAGCGGAGTTCCACTCGCCTGTCAAAAAATAAAAGTCAGCAGCTACAAAAACTGCTGACTTTAAAAAAAAAAAAAAAAAAGACACTTACCTGTCCCTCGGTCCCGTGGTGTGTCCCCCACAGCCCGTTTCACCAGCTGCCCTGTATTCCAGGAGGCCGGCATCTTCAGTGTGGGCACCCGGCTGTGACCGCTTGCGGGTACCCATTGTGCATGCGCAAGTAGCGCCGCGCTTCATGAATGGTCCTGTAGTCTTCTGGGACCTGTCATGTGTACCAAAAGACTACAGGGAGGGAGGGAGGACACCTTCCGCTTCTGATCGCCTAGGTGATCAGACCGGAATTGGGAGCGGGTACCTATCAAATTCGGGTACCCTCTCCCCCCTGTCCCCCAAAGGTGCCAATCCTTAATGGGGAGCGGGGGAGCATTCCTTAAAGCGGGACTTCCCCTTTTGGGTGGAGCTCCACTTTAAGAACTGAGCTCAAACAAGAGGCTGGAAATCCCCTGTGAGGTCCTTACAGTCTGATACTCAGCCCGATACTCCTGCTCTAATAGG